GGGTGGCACAGTCTTGGACAGAAAAACATGGTTTGCATCGACAGTTGTGTATTCCGCGTCGCAGCTTCCTCCCTTGATAGCTCACAAACAATGCCGTAAACGATGATTGACAGTACACCGCAGTAATTGAGGTGTGTCAGATTTATGAGTTGCCCAAGGCGCTTGGAGGTGCTAACTTTGAGTACTGGTGCTATTGCAGGCACTCTTACTGCTGCAACTACGCTTGTTATTACTAGTACGAATACTTACGAATACCGTTACCATCAAACTACTACTGAGATTACCATGACCAATGACCATGGCTACTGCTCTTACTGCTACTCCTACTCACTCTTACTCTGCCTATGACTTGTAGCTGTAGTAGCAGTCGTCGTCATGGTGGCGGTGGTGGTGGTGATCATGGTAGTAGTCGTCGTAGTACAAGTAGAAGTAGTAGTAGTAGTATTAGTAGTAGTAGTAGTAGTAGTAGTAGTAGTAGTAGTAGTAGTAGTCGTAGTCGTAGTCGTAGTCGTAGTCGTAGTCGTAGTCGTAGTCGTAGTCATAGTAGTAGTAGTAGTAGTAGTAGTAGCAGTAGTAGTCGCGATAAGGCTTTTATAAGGACAACCGTGCCTACTGCTTCAGGGCCTGCTTGAAAGTACTGTACACAAAAACCATCAAGCACTTTCGCAAAACACGAGACTCACCCGCATCCTTTACCCAGACCCCCGGGAAGATCGAAGAAGCAGATCTCTTAATGGGGTTCCTATAAAGTACCCGTAGTAGCAAAGAGCCCCGAATTAGGGGATCTACTTTCTAGATCCTCCTGGAGGTCTGGGTAGTGGCGCCACACCAAAGCCCGAACCCGACTCGTTATGCCCAAGCCATCTGTTTCAAACATAGAGCCAGAAAGCACCTAAAGAGTCAACAGATATCATCCATGCCATTCATGTCATTAGTATATCGATCTGATTGTGGCCCCATTTATGGCATGTTTGCAAATCCTATGTAATTCCTGATGCTGTTCTAGTTGATGTTGCGATTCCTGGCCAACGCAGCCTGATTCATATTTAGAATCCTATAAAGCCATCCCGAAAATGGAACTACTTTGGGGCCTTTGGGAAAGCCCCAAATACTGCCTAAATACCCCAACGCCTAGCTCTTGAAACACACTAGCGTGCCTCGAGCCATACCCCCGTGCGCTGCCCTAAGCCCATGAACCATGAACCCGAATATACAGTAAGGGGATTGAAACATGACATGGAATGCTTGCTTGAGGGGCGCATATTATGTTGTGGTGCAAGAGAGGATGTGGGAGTTTCCGAAAATAGGGGACCCTAATATAGTACCCTAAATAGTAAGATCCTTATAAGAAGGACCCCTAAAATAAGGTACCCCTATTTTCGGAAACTCCCATGTATCCCTGTGAAACCCTTACAAGGCAAACAGAAGCCACAAACCCCTAAACCCGGAACCCTGAGTCCCCAAGCCCTAAACCCTAACCACAAGACCCTTCAGGGTTTAGGGTTTAGGGGTTTAGGGGTTTAGGGTTTAGGGTTTATAAACCCCTAAACCCCTGAACCCCTAAACCATGAACCCGAACAGCTAACCCGAAGCCCACCAAAGGCCAAAGTCCCAGCGCGCTGAGTCTCAGCTGTGGAGCGACCACTGATTCCCTAGGTTCCTGCGTAGTACCCTTTTGCCCTTTTGGTTTTAGGGCCTCCTGATAAAACCCGAACAGTAGGAAAAAGGTTGCCATCATTTTCAGAGGGTATTCAGGAACCTAGTTCCTCAATCCCGCAGCCCGTGTCGAGAGGTTAAAGGTTAATGGTCCCCTAAGGGTCCATGTGCCCAAATAGTAAATACTTTGGGCCCAATGTATAGGGAGTACTTTCAGGCCAAAGTATGTACTATGTGGGTACCAGGACCCTTAGGGGTCCTGCGGTTTAGGAACCTAACCCGATATAGGGTTTAGGGGTATTACGAGTCGCATTGGAAGGGGATTTATTGATCGGGGGTATGCATTCGGCTTCACGGCTCACTTCTCCAGTCTCCCAGGTTTCACGATAAGTTCTCACAGGCTCTGCGTGGCTGAAAAGAGACCCTGAAACTTAAACCATTGCCAAGACTTTCGCTGTGAGCAGACGGAAAAGAGGCCCTTAAACAAAGAAAAACCATTGCCAACGTTGCCATGGGCAAGAATCACGAGAAGTTACTGGGAGGGTGGGGGACTTAGTAAGTAGTTAGTAAGTAGACGTATAAGTACCCTAAAAGGGACCCTAATTGGGGTTATGGTACTTATAAGTCCCTAAAATAACCAGTTACTAAGTCCCCCGACCCTCCAAGTAGGGCCTAGGGTTGAAGAGAATGTTTAGGGGTACCTATAGACCCTGAAGAACCTAGCTTTCTAGGGTTCCCTACTATGGTTTCCTTATATAAGTCCTGAAAAGGTAGGTTATTTGGGGTTAGGTAGGGTTTACCGGTCGAGGCCTTTCTGGGTGGGGATAACCCTTGAGGTTACCCTAGGAGTGCTTTCGGCTGCTATAAGCGTACACTAAGGGTTATTACGAGGCTTGATTTCAGGTTCTTACAAGAGTTTCCTTCCTTGATTCATTTCAAAGGGTGTGTTTGGGCTTGGTGCAGGCTTTAGGGTTTTGGGATTTCGGGTTCTGGGAGGTCCGTAGTTTGGGGTTGAAGGGTATGGGCTACCTGGGTTTAGGGTTGAGGGTGTTCCTTCTTTTGTTCCGGGTGTGTGTCTTAATTGGGGCTCGAGGTAAAGGCTCTTGCTGATGTCAGTTTTGACTGCGTGCATCTGTCAGCTCTACACTGACTGATGCTGTCAGTACAGAAAGTGTACGAATACTGTGAGATCGTGACTGTCGGAGCTTGCACGTTGCTGCTGCCGGTGTTGACGATGGTCAAAGACAGATGTTCATGTTTAGTTCAGTTTCGTTACCGGGGTTTCTTGCAGTAGCAGCTGCTTTTTCAGCAGCAAATGTCGCCCTCGCCGTCACCCTGTCAGTAGTGTTACGCCAGGTCTGTTCCTGCAAAATATCTAATGTTGTTGCGCTTGTTGCAGGTCTGTGGTGT